CACTGGAATCTGTAGAGTGAAGTTCACATACCCATCCTAATAACCACTTCTGTCCTAGTCATAGAATTTCTAATTTCCACTGTCTCCATTTGGAGTAAGTATTGGACTCTGGCCCAAAGTTAGGCTTGTCTTGGTTTTAGCCTCCAAGAGCTTCTGCTCTAAGATGAAATGATACCCGCAGCCACTTGGCTGTCTTATCTTAACAAATATTGTTGATTCTACCATTTATTTTAAGTTCGAAGCTTGTCATTTTATTTTTTTTTAATTTTTTTTAATGTTTATTTATTTTTGAGACAGAGAGAGACAGAGCATGAACGGGGGAGGGTCAGAGAGAGAGGGAGACACAGAATCTGAAGCAGGCTCCAGGCTCTGAGCTGTCAGCACAGAGCCCGATGTGGGGCTCGAACCCACGAACCGTGAGATCATGACCTGAGCTGAAGTTGGACGCCCAACCGACTGAGCCACCCAGGTGCCCCCGAAGCTTGTCATTTTAAAATTTATTATTTTATTCTTCTCAACACTCCTATTTTCCATATACATTTGGTAGGTGGGAGCATGGCATTAATTTATTTTAATGGTGTTTGCCTATTTGGGGCTTGCAGTCATTTAAGAAAGCTTTAAGCACAGTATAAACCTGCTGGTGTTGGAATTTATGCCTGGTTCATCTTCTCCTGTAACATCTTATAGGAGTGCATTCAACATAGCGGGTGCTTAATAACTATTTAAGTATGGTAACAGCAGTATTGTAGATGGAGTACACCGTGATTCTGACCTACTGCTGGGTTATTTGGAGATTTGAGTGATGTCCTGGATGCTTTCTGGTCCCAGCAGGATGTCAGAGCCATCAGATAACTTGTACCTAGAATCTGAGAAACCCACTCCATTGCTGGATGCCTTGGCACAGGCCCAGTGTGTCTTTCAGACTCTCTGGCTTAAACGTTCAGAAAGTGCTGTAGATTCCGTAAACAATCCTCCATCTACATACTCCAGGGAGAAAGCAGTTAGGGTGATTCTGGCCCATCGATGATGGAACACCAGTCTGCACTGAGAATGCTTTTCCATTCTGAGAGTTTGGGGAATAACCTTGCTTTAGGTGGGCTCAGACCTGGGTGGATACTAGAAAGCGTTGCTCTTCAGCATTGTTTTGCCTTTGTAGTAGACTACAAAGAAGCCTTTACCCTGTGGTTTTGTTGCCCAGGAATTGCAAGACTGGTAGCAAGACCATTGTGCTTGGATAGTCCCATCATTCTAGTCAATAAATTCAGTGTTTTGGACAAGATGTATCACAGAATCATCCTTGGGGAGTTGGCCAGGGCCAGGAAAGTATTGAGGAGAGCAATTAGTAAAGACAGACATTTAAAAATGTAAGTGGTAAGAGAGGCACCTGACTGGCTCAGTTGGTAGAGCATGTGACTCTTTATCTTGGGGTGTGAGGTTGAGCCCTATATTGGCTGTAGAGATTAAAAAAATGAAATCTTAAAAAAAAGATTTAAAAAATGTCAGTGGCAAGAAATCTGATGAACACAAGGATCTTCTGTGATTAAAAAAAAAAAGAATACTCATCTCTCTTCCCCCCAATATTCTAAAATTGGCTATTGACAGCACTCCAGCTTGCTCTCCACTCCTTCCCTGTTCCCATATACCCCCAAAGACTGAACTAGTCTAAAATCTGGATGCCTTTTCTAAGTTTTAAAAATAGTAGAACAATGCTGCTGTGATCACATAAAGCTATATTTTCACTGTCACCTCTAACTTGTAGTAGTCCTTGGTAATTACATGGTGCTTTCCATCTGTAGGTCTGTAAACACATGATAAATGTTAACTCTTAATTCTCCTAACACCCCTGTAGAGATAGAGAGAGATTGCAAGGTGCCTTTTAGCTCGATGTTGGGTCTGGTTTACCTCCAGGTTTAGCTCAACGGTTTGGTCTGGTCTCATTGAGGTGTTCTTTCCTGTATGTGGAAGAGCTGGTGAAAGTAACATGTGCTCTTATGAATGACGTTCTGTGCTGCCAGATGAAAATGCTGAAGTCTCCGGAGAAGCAAGAAGCATAAGCCTCCTGACTTCAGGAAGCGTACACTCTGAGCCTCTACAGTTTCACCAGTTGTTACTGTTTTGATTATGGATTAGATCGCAAGAAGAGTTAGAAAACATTTTGTCTGTTAAAGGATGTAGAACTTTGTTTCTGACATGTAATATCTGCTCCTGACATTTAAAAGGAAAAATTCATCACTTCTTCTTTGGCAGTAATTTTTATGGCTTTTTGTTATTTCTTTTCAAGAGTTATTTCTTCCTAGGATCTGTTTTTTTGTCCTTTTACATCTTGAAGAGTGGAATTTCAAATAACCTTGGAATTTACACCAGTGAAATTCAAAAGCTGGGCTGGACTTCAAAAAGCTTTACAGAACCGAACAAAGTAATTATTGTACAGTTTTAAATTTCTTTAGCCATAGCTTTAATATATTGCTTCGTTAAGCAAATGATTTCAATTTATTATGCAAATGTAGCAATTATTCCATTAAAAAAATCTGTTAGAAAGATGGCCCACTTTGCTTCCGTGGCACAATAAGTAATGTTGAATGTCTCATTTTTTCTGATTTGCTTATTTTGTCTTTAATGACACCCATTTAAAGTAAAAGTCTTTAAAATGGTAGAAAAACGTGATAACATGTCTTCACTCGTAATTTGATACTTGGATATAATGAGTTCATCTGAGAGATTTCATTAAAAACAGCAAGGTGCCTGAATACCAAAGCTGAGATGTTTTTAATCACAGAATTATAGTAATTATACAAATCCCAAGATTTTCATCAGACAGAAAAGGCTTCCCGGGCTAAACATGCACTTTAAACTTAGCACTAATAACTGTGTATTGTTATAAATTATAGGAGAGAGACTCCTTGGGCCAAGGGGAATATTGGAATTGAATTTTTAAGGAAAATTGAGAAACAAACTATTTTGGTAACATAATGGTACATGTAAGAGGCACATCACAAGCGTAATAGAAGAAGAATTCTCTTTGTGCAAGAGACATAGCAGGTGAATATCAGATAAAGTTAATGAGGCTGTTATTGTTTACTATGTTGTCAGCATCGAGAGAATGCTAGAAGGAACATCTCTGTCTTCTCCCAGGGGTCCTGAAGTTGCTAATCGACAGGAGTCTTACTTCCAGCCAGTAAATGGGACAGACCACCAGTAAATTAGATGATTATTGACTCAGAATCTGGATTTTCTGGGTTGGATGAAGACTCTCTAAAGAATAATTTTGTCATTGTGGGAATTATTTAAAATGTCAAATTTTTATAAAATGGCCAGGACATAGTACCCTCAGGGAGCTTGCTTTTAAGATAAGTTATATAAAAAGATGCACCTGAGAAGATTTTATAAAAATCTCCCTAAGACAGAAAGTTTATTTGATCTATTTTCCACTTACCATTATTTCTCTCTGTTTTCTGGCTCAGAGAGATGGGTAGGGGGAGATGAGCAAAGGGGATTGAGGAGGAAGGGAGAACATTGAAGCAGTGTGCTCTGGGGTGTCCACAATGGGTGGAGGAGGAAGGAAGGGAGCCTGGGGGAAATGGAGAAGGCAAGTTAGGTTGGCTTCTCGTTTGTTACAAATGGTTTGGAGTTGAGATGCAGAGCATGTATTCAAATGGAAGGCTCTGTAATCTGTCTGGGTATTCTTGATGATCAGTCAGGACACAGAATTCCTTCTAGGGGCTGGAGCAGAGACATGCCTGGGATTTGAGTCCTAACAAGACAGGTATTTCTGGTCTCTGTTCTCCCAACCTTATCCCTTTCTATGGTAAACTTATCATCCCCTGTCTGCAAGCATGATTGGAGAGTTCGCCGGAACAATGGTCCCCAGATTCCATCTTAATATGTTATCATCCACATTTACTATTTGCATATTTCAAGCTCCAGGTTCTTCCCCACCTCCTCATTGGGGAGTTTGAAGACCATTTTGTCAGCTTTCAGCCCTGCCAAGAATGAGTGCACACAGGTGAGAGCATGTAGGCTCACCTTTTGCATCCATCAGTGCTGGGCGGGCCCTGGATGGAGAAGGCCCTGCCTGCAATTTCAGTTTCATTAAAGTTTCGCTTTTACCATTTTATTTTTTTATTATTCTTATTTTGTAATCTTTATTTAATTTTGAGAGAGAGAGAGATGGAGTGTGAGCAGGGGAGGAACAGAGAGAGGGGGAGACACAGAATCCAAAGTAGGCTCCAGTCTCTGAGCAGTCAGTACAAAGCCCAAAGCCCAAAGCCCGATGTGGGCTGGAACTCATTAACCTTGAGATCATGACCTGAGCTGAAGTTGGTTGCTCAACTGACTGAGCCACCCAGTCGCCCCTAGCTTTTTCCCTTTTAGCCATCAAAATAATATGTGCCACTGCGGGAAATTTATAAGATACAGAAAAATCTAGAGAAGCAAGGAAAATCACCATTAATGCTTTCACTCAGAGGGAATTCACATTTTGCCATATTTCCTTCCAGTCTTTTTCCTGCATCTTTTGTTTTTTATGTGCACTCATCTACAAATGAATGTTTGTATTCTGATTTAGAAACATTTAACAATATTTAATCCCCTGGCATAAACATTTTCTGTAAACCTCATGGGAAGTCTATTGAATGTTGATTGCCACAGAGAGCATAAAGACGTTACTGTCTTTTAAGAGTTATTGTCATTTGGTCTCTTCCCAGGTCCCCTATTGTGGTCTGCTGCACGTCTGGGAGACTATGATGGGAATGAGTGTGAAAAGCTGGAGGTTTCACCTAACTCGTTGCTCCTGCCTGGAAGATCATCCTTTAGAAATAGGAAAAGTGCTCCACGCGGTGGCTGACTTCAAGGGACCAGACACATTGTAGAAAGAAATGGATGAAAGCAGCTTGGGGGCTCCAGACACACGCTCCCTGCAGTCTAGTCCAGGGAAGCCCTTCTGAGGCGCCCTGGCATTCTGGAATGTCGCCAGGTCTGGACGCATGGCCAATTCCTGAGTGATGATGGTTCGCCGGGGGTTGCTTGCGTGGGTGTCTCGAGTAGTGCTTTTGCTGGTGCTGCTCTGCTGCGCCGTCTCAGTCCTCTACATGCTGGCCTGCACTCCGAAGGGCGACGAGGAGCAGCTGGGGCTGCCCAGGGCTAACGGCCCCACGGGCAAGGAGGGGTACCAGGCCGCGCTGCAGGAGTGGGAGGAACAGCATCGCAACTACATCAGCAGTCTCAAGAGGCAGATTGCGCAGCTCAAGGAGGAGCTGCAGGAGAGGAGCGAGCGGCTCAAGAATGCACAGAATCACCCCAGCGACGCTGTGGGCCTGGGGCTGGATCAGGGCCCCCCAGAGAAAACGCAGGCGGACCTTCTGGCCTTCCTGCACTCCCAGGTGGACAAGGCGGAGGTGCACACCGGCGTCAAGCTGGCCACTGAGTATGCTGCTGTGCCTTTCGATAGCTTCACTCTGCAGAAGGTGTACCAGCTGGAGACGGGCCTGACCCGCCACCCCGAAGAGAAACCCGTGAGGAAAGACAAGCGGGATGAACTGGTGGAAGCCATTGAATCGGCCGTGGAGACCCTGAACGGCCCTGCGGACGGCAGCCCCAGTCGGCGCCCCTACTCGGCCTCGGATTTCATAGAAGGTTGGCAAGTTTGTGGATTGGGGTGGGAAGGAGAAGGAAGGGCATCTGGGTCCAGGTACCCAGGCGGGTCACCGCAGCGGGAAGCGGGCGTCTGGCTTTGGCAATGACTGGCAGAGGGTGAGCCACAGCAAAGGCACATAGTGTGGGTTTGTATTTCTCAGAGACAGCCGTTTTACTTACTTTCTCATGAAAGCCATGTTTATTGAGTGGACAGGTTCGTTGTTCCCTGGCAGAAGAAGGGAGTTCTTGTGTTCATTAGGAAGGAAGGAAGGAAGGAAGGAAGGAAGGAAGGAAGAAAAAGAAATAGAAAAAATATTGAAACCCAAACAGAGGATGATAGGCAGTTTTAATTGATCTGTTCCCTGGGCCCTTCTCCTGGAGATCTGGCCTGGGTATCAGGCCCATGAACAGAACTGCAAACACGTGGTCTATAGCACTTAACATTTGCCAGACACTGTTCTGGGAACTTTATATTTACTAATTCACTTTTTCTTCTTAATGACCCTATGAGGAGGGATGAAGATTGAGTTCAGATTAATTAAGTAAATCGCCCAAGGTTGTGCCGTTAGCCAGGATTTGAGCCTGGGAAGTCTGATTCCAGAGTCCCCATCCTTAACCACTAGCTTATATTGTACAGTCACAGCACATGAAAACTAGTGACATGAATGGCTTAGCTTTTTTTTCATGGGCACAGAACAGCCAAATATTAGTTTGTGTGTGATTGTGTCTACTTGGAGGAGAAATTGGCCTTGTCTAGTTTCTTGGAAGTTTCATTAGTATCTTCTTGCCAACTTTTCCACTGTTACTGGGGCAAAAATCAACTAATAATTTGGGAGAGGAAATAACTTCCGAGGGCATCCACCCCTCCCTCCTGTTTCTGGAGAGAATCTACTTCAACTTCTCAGACGTGTGGCCGTGTCCACTATTACCTTATTCCCAATAACGACCCTCTCATTGCCTGCAAGCAAGACAGAGTCTGTTTAGTCATATCAAAATGGCTCTCACTGCTATGTATGCCTGTTCTCTTTGGACACTTCCCTATCTTATGATTTTTTTCCACTTTATATGTGAACCATAAACTCATGTAATTTTGGTAATCATTTTCATATACCTAGAGCCAGGTAAAGAAATCTTGTACAAGATCAAGCTTTTTGGTCGTCAGGATGTTTTTGTTGTTACTCATTTATATGAGGTATGAAAAATACCTAGCACATTTGGCAGCTAGCAAGTACAAGCACATGCTGGGCACTCAGTAAGAATTCAAAATATCATGATGTCGTAGCAGCACATTTTATAGCGCTTTGAAGTTTATGAAATGTTTCCACATACAATATCTTACTGGTGGACCCCCAGGGAAAGTCATAAACATCCTTAAAAAGCAAATCCTGGTTGCCACTCACCCTGGAGAATGCCACAAGAGCTTCCCACATACAAAGCACTTTCAAAAGAACTTGGTTATAAGTTAATGCCTGCCATTTGGAATGTTGGCCCTTGTGATTTTTCACATACATTCATATTTGAAACCTCTGCTTTTCTGTGTACAGTGTCTTGATACACAAGGCCTGTTATTCTCAGTCAGCAGTGACATAGGCCCCCTACCCCTGAATTTATTTGCATTGAGATATGGCTGACTTTCTGTTGGAGACACTGTTATCCTAGCTACCCAGTGTTGCTCGCATGTGCAGCACACAGCCTGTGTTTTAAGGCAGATCAACCCACACATACCTTCCATATTTGGTGAAAGTCTAGTGGGCTGTTTTCTTAGGATGAGTGAATAGACACACACTTTAGATACATTTATATATATTTAACTGTCATAGGTACAATTTATTTCATTTTTTTTTTGGTCTTACCACAAAAGATTGTGGTGGCAATCTTTTGTATTCTGAGGAAATAAGGTAGTTTGAAAAAATCCACTAGTCCGAGGAAGCTTCAGGCAGGTCGAGTCAAAGTCTACATATGGAGCAACTTTCAAATAGTGATGTTCCAGAGCAAAGTGGGAATCCTGTTACTGTGAGAATTTGGTCACCAACTGGATGGCCCCTTGGTCAGGAGGTTATAATTCATGATTCTAGGATCAGAGTTGTGGCTGGACTGGATTACATTTGAGGACCTTTGTAATCCTGGTTCCTGATTTTTTGATCTACACACAGTCAAGGGGAAAGAAGACAATGGAAAAGGTCTGATTTGAAATCTGTTTTCTATGAGTTAGAACAAGTGATGAGACCTTATAAGGGTGAAATAGGTCTTTGAAGTAACTTATTTGGGTTTCTAAATATAACCGTAGAGAGATTGATTTTGTGTTTGGGGTATCAGTAGTCCAGAAGTAAGAGTGATTTAGTAAAAGTCAATGGGAAAATTTTAGGTCTCCCACACTCAGTTCTAAACAAAGGTAACTGATCTGCTGAACCCAGAACGAGAATGGGGATTCTTTGTGTTTAAAGAAATAATAATAAAAACACATGAATGCTTCCAGATGATAATAGTTAGGCAAAGCTTAAAGCTACCTATGAGGCAGGTAGTATGGTGACATGAGCACGGGGAGCTGTGTGACTTTGACCAATGTACTCAAGCCCCTTAAGACTCGGTTTCCTCCTCTCTCCGAAGAGACTTGGCTTAGTGTCCTCCAAGGCCCTACCCATTCCCAACCTTCCGCAACACGCAAAGCACTGCTTCAACTTCTTTTCTTCTCAGCTTTGCCAAACAACTGTCCCTGGAGGGTACTCTAACATCCACTCTCTGAGATGATGAGGACACAACACTGACCCTTTGGGAACCTTGTCTCTGAAAGAAGGAATTAAGATAGATTAGTTATCAGGTCTGACCTGACCGTGGCCACCTTCTAGGGTGCTGTGAAGCTTGCAGACGGAGAATACCACATTGGTGACTGTCTATGATCGATATTGATGTAATTATTTTCTGTCTCTAAAACACAGAGAGAACAGCATGTGCCTCCTCTCCCTTTCCCTAGACATTTTGTTGGCATTGATTATCGCATTGGCTTCTCACATAATAGCATGGATTTTTTTTGTAACTATCTGGGAAGAGAAGTAGAAAAATGTGATCAAATCCTGTGCCTTAGGATGCCTAAATGTTTATCTCCTCAAGTGAACAGAATTTTTTTGTTTGTGGCTTAGTTATTCCTTCACTATAGGATATCCAGACTCCTATTTAAGTCTTAGTGGCATAACTTTTGGCTTTGACTTCATTTTTTAAGTAGAACTTTTGGATATAAATTTGACATGGTTCCATAAAACAATTTAGCTTTCCAAATTATTCCTCTTTTATAATCCAAACTTCTGAGAATGAGTCTGTATGAGGCGGTCGTGTCTACTGTCTCCATGGGTGGCTCTTCTGTCACTCTCTGCCAGCTTTTGCAGGGTTGGTGGTAGCAAGAGCAGGGTCAGATTTGTGGTGAGGTGGAGCCACAAGCCATGATCTGCAAGAAGGTGAAAATTTTGAGGGCACCTTAAGATGCATTTAAATCAAGGGATATAGAAATTGCTATAAAACCTTAGTAGCTGCCTGTACAGTAAATCCCAACTTCCTGTGCTCAACAGCCAACCCCTCGTGCCTTCTGGGAAGCTAAGACAAAGAGTGAAGATGCTGAGTTTTTGACTTCCATTGTTTGTGTCTCACTATAAGCTCTAAGGGATACCCTGTGACCACTTTGCTAAAGCTGTTTTGGACAAGTCAAATCCATTTCCAAGTCCTGGGTACTTGGAGGGCCAGGTGCTTGGGGCTGTGAGGACAGGAAGTGGGCTTTTTCCTCTGCATGCATTTTGGTGATATGCTTCTTTGTCAGCAACTTTGTGACTTGGGGTTGAAAAGGTAGGACAGGCATGCTTTTTCTCTCTCTCAAAATAAATAAGTAAACTTTTTTTTAAAGTTTACATTGGGTGGGGAGCAAGTGGGAAAGGGGCAAAAAGAGAGGGAGAGGGAGAGAGAGAATCCCAAGCAGGCTCTGTGCTGTCAGCACAGAGCCCAACGCAGGGCTCAAACTCACCAACTGTGAGATCACAACCTGAGCCAAAACCAAGAGTCGGACACCCAATTGACTGAGGCACGCAGGTGCCCCTAAATAAACTTAAAAAGGTAAAGGCAGGCATTCAGATGCATTTCTGGGCCTTTTGGGGGGCATCAGGAAGTCTTGGTGCAGAAAGAAGAAGAGTTAGGGTGTAGTGGGAGGGAGATTCTGCACAGTGGGGCATCTAACCTGTGTTTGGGGTGTGGGGAGATGTGCTGGCAGACTGGACAGCAGGAGGGCTTCAGGAGCTGAGTTGGGCCTTGGTTCTCAGCCAGCATCTCTAGGGCAGTGAGGGTGTTAGAACTTAGGACAGCCCTTCTGACTGTCTGTCACCTCACTGTGCACTGGAGAGACCATGCTGGCTCACTTTTAAGTTTTGAGCAGTCCTACGTGACACTGGGTTCCTCTGTCACTCACCCTATCCTGTCTGTCCCACTTCCTACCTCAGATACCCTCATTTGCTTGCGGATGCTTTAAGGTCCTTTAAGGAGGGACAAATGCTTTTTATCCTGAAATCATAGATAAGAGGCTTAAATACAAATAAATGGTATGAAGCTGCACTTTGAAGCAGGAATTCTTCCTGTGGTGATGGAGGGAGAGAAAGTGGACTAGCCTTGGATTCTGCCTGTGGGCAGGAGTCCAGCCTCCCAGCACGACAAGTGAAGAAGCCCCATATGAAACGAAATGCTCTGCTGTCCTAGGATATTTTGAAATTCTTAATAATTTTGGAACAGGGAGCCTATGTTTTCATTTTGCACCGGGCCCTACAAACTAGGTTGTGAGTCCCACTTCCAAGGTCGAGAGGACAGGAGGGAAACATAAAGGAAGAGGGAGATAGAATTAGTGGTGAACTGTGTAGTTGGGCACCTTTGCTGAGGGTCAGCTCTGTTGATCTTCGGTGCGCTGGGACAGATGGAACCTCTGTGTGACGTACATCCTATGTGTACAGAGTATTTTGTCACAAGACTGCAGA